CGACAATCTGGAAGATTATGTTTCTTGACCTGTAATTCATGTGTTTTGTGAATGTCTGCTTGACAGGCCTTCAACCAAGATGTAATATGTATTTTTGTACTTCATTTTATTTGTATTCAAGTTGTAAAGCTATGTAAAGTTGTATGCCATTCTATTTGACTTATGCACAGCTCTTATGGACTAATTAGATTTGTATATATATCGCTTCCGCACTTGTAAGCCCATATATTTATACTCTGATTGTGTGTGAATTTTGTAAGTGGCCTTCAATAATCTCGGATTACTGGCAATCACGGCACCATCCTACTAGGGGCGGTTTGGGGTTGTGACATGTTAGACTTGCACCCATGAGTTGCACACCAACATAGATTGGAGTTGCACTAATATCTTTTGAACAATATTAATGAATATCAAACAATATCAAATAATTAGTTTGACAAAGATAAATATTTTTTAAAAAAAAAATACTTGTGCATAGGTGCAATTTCAATTTGCACAGGGTGCAACTCTAATTTGTGTGGGGTTCAATTTCAACATGTGCATGGTGCAAGTCCAATATATATGGTGTGTAACTCTAACGTTTGCATGTGCAACTCCAATTTGTGACGTATGATATGTAATATATATTAATTTTATAAAAAAAAAATTGAATTTATATATTAAAAATTAGGACAAAATCTATTTTACCTGTGGTATGACTTGATAACATTTTACCGTTTTTTAAAAATAGCCATATACCCTTCACTGGTTTTGGACTAAAATACCCGTTAACTATAGATGCGAAATGACTATAATACCCTCAAATTATATATTTTTTATTATTTTCTATCTCTCTCATCTCTCATACACATAATTTTTAATGCCTTTCAACATGTCGGCAACACATGCGTCTAGAACAGCCATTCTAAACATTGTTATGAGGTTCTACCAATAAGATTGAAATACCTGAGCAGATGTCTCTCTTTGTGGCATCCATGAAGCCTTTTAACATGTTGGCAACACATACGTCTATAAAAGCCACTCTAAACATTGTTACAAGTCGTGTCATGTTGAGTAAATATTGTCGAAATAAAAAAAATTTAGCAGTAAACCGATCAAGTGGATGTTCGTGGGGATTGGGGGAGAGAATTACTGAGAAAAGGGATTTTGTGGAAGGTGTGGGTTGGCAAATCAATTGACCCATTTGAAGATCAATGGATACCTACGATGGATAATCTGTTAATCGGGAGAGGTGTTGGCAAATTGTTTTCATCATTCAGAGTAGCACACTCGATTGATTCTAAATATGGAGAGTGGAGAATTCCTTTGATTCGATCTTTGTTTCCACCAGAAATGGTGAATCATATCATCAATATCCATATCCATATCCATATCCGTATCCGTATAGCAGGTTCTCCAGATCAAGTTATTTGGAAAGCAACAAAAGAAGGGTGTTATTCTGTTAAATCAGGGTATTTGGCAACTCTTGGGAACACAATTTAGCTGGAACATGCCACACTCACGCGATGGAAGGGTGTTTCTGTGGAAATTATTGCACAGAATTCTGCATGTAAAAACATTTCTGTGGAGTAGAGGAATCAATGTCAACCCACTTTGTCCTAGATGTTTTGAAACTGAGGAGACTCTTGAGCATCTTTGTTTTCAGTTCCCTTTTGCCAAACATATATGGAGAGGATCTATCTTGGGATTAAACTTTGATGAAGGTGAAGAACTGTCAGTGGCAGATTGGTTGAAACAATGGTTTGATCAAGCACCAGAAGAGGGTTTTATCTTAGAATCTGTTAAGGTGCTTTGGGGAATATGGTTGCATAGAAATAAAGAAGCTTATGATTCGTTTGTGGAAGATCCATCGCACACAATCAGTTTTATTAATCAGTTGGACTGGACTTCTAGAAATCTTAGTGAAGGAATTAATCAACCTCGGAACCTTCCACATCAGATAATAAAAAATAGTTCTTGTAACTGTTCTTATGTTGTCACTGATAACTTGGATTGGTGTCCAGATTTATGTTTTGACAGGATATTGATAGATGGTGCATGGAGTGAACAAACAAGGAAAGCTGGAGCTGCATGGGTGGGTGTGGACGCTAAAGGAAATCAAATTGCAATGCCAAGTTTTGTTTCACATCACATTTTTATTTTTTTATAATAAATAAAAAAAAATTAACTTATAAATCATATCTAAACGCAACGCTAATAATGAGGCAATCAAACATATAGCTTCAGGCATATTTTGAAAAGAGCAATATGCTATCTATCAAATGTTGGCTTATCTGAATCGTTTAAATTTATACATATCGATCGCTCGATCAGTCATCCAGTAACAAGAGTGATAATCACGATTAACAAGAGTCACAATTACAATTGATAAAGATTGTACCAGTCATCCGAATAAGTGTTTGAATAATCAATTGACATATACAAAGCGTAAATTTAAATTTGATAAATGAATCATTTGTGTTGTGAAAATTTCCAATTTTAGTCATAAAAAAAAAAAAAAATTTAAAAAAAAGTTACCGAAAAATCCAAACATGATCGTCATCCGGTTTAGACAAACTAGAGGCCATGAGAGTCTCTTGGCGTCTACGACTAGTCAACCTAGAATAAAGCACAGCTCAGCTCATGAAAGGGTTGGCTTGGCTTTGAATACTACTGAGGTAGGGAATCAGGATCTTCTCCTTGAGGTTCCTATTTAATTTTTTACTTATTAAGTTATTGGGTTCATTTTTAAGTTTAATTTTAATAATTCAAACCGTCACATTTTAAGATTTGTTGAGTATATCATATCTATAAATAATCAAGTTGATCGGATATCAAAAAGTATGTGTTCGGAAAATTGTTTATTAATTTTTTTAAAAAAATAGTTTTTAGTTAGTTTTCCGAACACATACTTTCTGATATCCGATCAACTTGATTTTTTACAGGTATGATGTATTCAACAAATCTTAAAATATGAACGGTTTGGATTATCGAAATTGAGCCTAAAAGTTGGCCCAATAGCCTAGCAAGTAAGAAGCCAAGTAGAAACCTCAAGGAGAGGATCCTAATTCCTGAGCAGGGGTTAGTTTTTGGCTTTTTTTTGAATTTTTTGACTTAGGCCAAGTTTGGGAAGACTAAATAAGTGCACTTTTTGTCTTTTTGGACTAAAAAATTGAGGTTGAAAATATGGATGTTTGGGTTAACTTTTTGACTTTTTATTGAAAAATGTGTAATAAAAAATTGTAAAAATTGATTTGTAGAGAAAAATTTGAATTGGGAGTTGTGCAGCCGTAATTGTTGACTTTGGTGAATAGTAATGACTTTTTAACTTTTTGAGTAACTTTTTGACTTTTTATAGAGAACATTTCCCAAACTTGGCCTAGTTTGAGGTTAAAAAGCATGGTTTAGGAAGGATTTTGATTTTTTTGATTTTTTTTGAATTTTTTGTGAGAGAAAGAATGTAATGATTATGGGTTAGATGTGATATTTATCTTATTGAGCTAAAAAACCTATTTTATTTGTACTATTTAGCAAAAAAAAAACCTCAAACCCAACTTCCCAAACATAGGCTAAATCTGTCTGGTTTTTATTATCAAAATTTATTTTTTAGAAAATTTTAATCTTTATTTTTTGTATTTGTTTTATTTTTACTGATTTTTTTTAATATTTTAAGTATTTTTTAAAAAAAATTTTAAACATGTCTAACATAAATACACTTACAAAATATAAAATTTATAACATTTTTAAAAAAATTCACTAAATATTAAAAAATATAAAAAAAAAAAAAAAAAGAAAATTCAGTATATTTTTCATAGTTTTTATATTTATTAATTTTTTAAAATATTTTTTCACAAATATTTTACTATTAGATACATCTAAGTAAAATACATCTAAAAAAATAATAAAAAATTACTCAAAATTTTAAAAAATATTCATTAATAACAAACAAATATGAGAAATTAAAAATTCAATTTTAAAAAAATTAAACCATCCATACACTTGTATTTATTGAAGGCCCCTCTACTGTTCAACAGACCAACTTCAACCAACACCAACCTCTCCGTTCAAAAAAAAAAAAAACCAACACCAACCTCGGCTCTCGCAGCTCATCAATAACTCGTTTTTTAAAAAAAATTATATTAAAAAATTACTTTTCAAATCAATCTAATTATAAGATTTAAAAAAAAATTTAAAAAAAATTTAATTTTTTTTTTTAAATGTTTTTTTAGTGAATTTTTTTTTAAATATTTATATTTATTTTTACTTTTACTCTTTTACCGTCCATTTATATAATTAGAACCTAAAATGATGATTATTTTTTATGTTTTATTTTTTAATTTATTAAAAATGAAAAAAAAAAAAAAAACTCGTTGTAAATGTTACATTCTTTACTTTCTCACTATTCTCGACATTTTCCTTCAATAATTATTTGATATATATGATACGAATAGATTACCAATAATAAAAATTAGCCAAAATAAAACTCCAAACACACGCTTAAAAAAAATAATAATAAAAAAATTAGTTTGGTGTTGTATTTTGCGTCTATAGTATTTTCTTTTTAGGTAAAATGTATTGTTAATTGATTATGCAAAGCCCAACAATTCCACAGTTAAGATGTTGGAAATGTCATCAATCTTATATAGTTAAAAAAAAAACCTTAATGCTGTGTTTGGTTAGGAAATTTGAGGAGGGATTTAGAAAGAAAAATAGAAATGGTAGGTAAAATGTGAATAAAAAATATCTATATTTCACCTAATTTCACATATCTTTTTCCTTTCCCTTTCCAAATTCCTCCATAAATCCTCCAACCAAACAGAGCGTAATAGTAAGTCTCACCCCATAGCATAAAGTGAAATGCATAGCATATTCAACAGAATATTTGAAAAAAAGAAAAAGAAAAAGGGGAAAGGTTGGTTCATCAAAACTGATTGACCTACTGAGTTTAGTCACTGAACAAATTTCTATTTGCACATGTTGATACACAAAATCAAAAGGTTAAAAAGCAAAGAAACTCAAAATTATTACAAAAATTTGGAATCTTATTTCCCACACAGGTCTCCTAAGTTTCTCAAACTCTGACATTCACAAACTACCCAAGTTCGGTAAATAAGCTAAAAACCACAAATATTTGAGAAATAAAATTACAAATCACTCAATTTTGGTAAAAAATTGTAGTTTTGGTGCATCATATGGCCAGGTCTGAAGGTTTTGTATATGCTCAAAAGACAACATGAAGGCACATGACAAGATCATCGAAATTTTAGTCCCTAATGACATCAAAAACAAAATGTTGTTCTCCTCAAAAACTAAAAAACAGAAAAGCAAAACAAACAATATTGTTCTATTCCTGGGTTAATTCCTTGACTTCTTCCTAGACGACTTGGAAGAAGGCTTGGATTGCTCTGCAATTGCATTCTGCGAAGAGGCTGCCTTCGCGTTGGTTGTTTGGTTTGATTTTGCATTAGCATTGACAGCCTCTTTCGCCACCGCACCCTGCGAACCTCTCACCTGAGCCGCTCTCTTATCCTTTCTCTTTGGCCTGTAACTCGACCTCTCCCTCTTAGGTAGCCACCGTTCTGGATCTGGTGGAGGACCTGGGTTTGCAGGGTCGAACCCTTTTGGATACTTTGGCTTTCTCTTCCTCTTCTTCTTCGCTTTTTCCTTACCCTTCACTTCAAATTGCTCGGTAATCCCCCCATGAAGCACGCTTTCAACATGCTTTGCACCGGAAGTCTTCTCCAAACTATCGACATCAACGGACTTCAAACCAGGTAACGGCTTCAACTGCTTCTCATAAGCTTCCGCTTTATCAATATCTGAATGAGCAGTGGTCTTAATTAGTCCAACCAAAGCCTCAATACTTCCGTGGCTTTTGACGAGCTCTTCGTATAACCGGGCAGCCTCCTCCTTCCGACCGTGCTTGAGCTTAAATGATGCTGCCTCTTGCATAATGACATTGAGCTTGTTGTCTTCAGCCATGGCATTTGACCACCATTGGATCGCAGAATCAAACACAGCAATTGCACTGTTGATATCTCCTGCACGTTCTTTGAGAGATACGAGGGTGGCGACAGTGGCTGGCATGTGTTGAATGTCCGGTATCTTTGAGAGGGACTCGGCTGCGACTTGAGGGTGGCCAGCACTAGCAGCAACTTGCGCCCTTGCAAGGAGAACGACCTTCGACTTGTCGGGGAACTTCTCTGAAAATTGGCCTAGTATTTCTTCAGCTCGGCCAGCCTTGTTCTCTCTCACCAAAACTGCAGCTTGAAGCAGTACCGGCATCACACTATAAGGAAACATGTCTGGCAGTGCAGCAACAAGTTCTCGAGCCTGCAAATATACCCTCAATTTGAATAATAATTCAAATAAAACTAAAACAAACAAGGGAGAAAAGGAGACAGTTGCGTGGAGGATTTGTTTTAGTGTTGATCCTAATTAGTGGACACAAACCACTCGACCGTGGATCTAACTGGGCATATTGCTCTATTTCTATGTATTTATAGTGAAAACCGTAGTAGCCATGGACATTGATCTAGCTTGGGGTGAACCACATAAACACTTCATGTGTGCATGTCATTTATCCTTCTTGTGCGTTTGTCTGTTTCTGTGTTTCGAGTTTCACCAATCCTGGTTAAGTGTTACGGATTCCTAACAGCGTTGGGGTAGGGGTTTAGAAGAAGGTAAGGGAGAAATTTAAGACCTGATCAATCCGATTAGAGTGAAGAAGCAGAAGCACCCGATTGGCATATATTGCTTCCCTTTGTTTGGGTGAAAGCTTTAGGTCAAGTCCACGAGCAAGCTGGAAAATCTGTGGCCCGCTGCCTTTATCTATTAATCGATCAAGTTTCCTTAGGCTATCAGAGACGTCTTTTGGACCCTTCAATGATACGAGGTTGTTTGATGCCACTGCAAGTGATGATTCATCTGCCAGATTTCGCTTTATAATGTCTGTGTAAGCTTCAATGGCTTCTTGTGTGTGTCCGAGGAGCTGAAAAAATAAGCCAATTTGGATCAAATGACAAATGAGCATTTGAAAAAGAAGAGACAAACATGTATGTAATGCCAATATCATACCTGTTGAACATGTGCCAACTGTACAGTTATGGGAGCCAATTCGATCTCTATGTCATCATCAGCCAAATTATCTTCCATTAGCGTTTCTTGACCAATTCTGTCAACAAAAAAAAAAAAAAAAATTCAAAGAATAGAGAAGAATATAAGTTTATCTTCTTCAAATATATGGGGAGATTTATGTTGTTTAAGAAGTGACGTAGTAAAACAGTAGGAAGTTAAACGAGAGAAAATATTGCATAACTGGCCAAAACGAGCAATGAAATCTACCCAACTTGGTAAGATGTTATTTTGATGAAATCAAATAACTTGCCATCATTGTGAAAATTCAAACTACTATTCGCTTCGTTATTTTGAAGCTTCAGATTTAAAGTGAATAAATATTCATTATTACAAGACATTCCTAAATACTGGTAAGAATAGTGCCTCTACTAATTACCAGTTCACTGAATCTTCATCAAATATCACTCTTAAACAACGGGTAGAATGAACATGATGTCAATTTGGAAGGATACTACGCAATACTCTGGTAAGAGTCTTTTCTACTTTAAAACAACGACCATGGTTATTTTCCACACATCTGAAAAAATGTAAACTTTCTCAACAAAAACATGATTTTACCACACAAAGAGGGTGATAACCAGCTCTTATATGTTAACCCTACATTAGAAATTGGAAGCAAGTTTTTACAATTCAAAGTACAAGACAATGATGCCCTAAAAGCCATCTACTAGGTTATATGATGCATATCTGTTCCTGCCAAAGAAAATTCATTACGAGGAGTTATGGTCAGCAACACTTTATAGGTAGTTGTGTTCCTGCCAAAGAAAATTCATTACAAGGAGTTATGGTCGGCAACACTTTATAGGTAGTTGTGCATGATAGACAGGGTCCTAAAGACATATCCATTCCGTTATTAGTCGTTGGTACCATGCAGACTGCTCACAAGAGTCAGGGAACCAAACACAAATGAGAAAGTACCAACAAGATGACCAGGAAGAGAAAGCAATTTCATTTACACAAGAAGCAGTTTCCAAGCAACACTATTTTGCATACCTAGATATTAAATTTATGTGCTGACAACTCTTCTGAATAGTTCCATCAAAACAACAAATCTACGTAGTGTATATTTAATAGTAACAAAGTAGTGAACTTCTAAGTCTTAAAAACAAATAGCTATGGCAACAGTAGCAGCAGCAGAAGTAACACAATAAATCACAATAATGGTGTTTACAGTATCATTTATAGTAATTAGAAAGCAAATAGCTAGTTCTAATCAATTCTCACACACAACATTGTGGCTCACCTTCGAGCTGACAGTAGGAGTTGCTCTGCATCTGAATACTTCTTCCTTTCAATTAATGAACAGGCAGTGTTGTACGCCAACTCAAAGCTGCTAGTTGCTTTTACTCTGAGAGCCTCCATCACTCCTTGCACTTCGGAAGCCCTCCCAGCAGAAAGCAAACCAGCAATAAGATTTATCTCCAATGACTCTATCTTAGATTTCTGAAGCTTTTGATAAATATCCAAAGATGCATCCAATTTTCCCAAACGAAATAGAATCTGAGATTGTAACAACATAGCTGCAGAACTTCCCTCTTGGCCTTCCAATGATGCTAAAGCTTCGTTTAACTTATTTTGTCTGTAGAAGCAGTATGCCTATTTTGAAACAACAAAAGTTCAAACATACATATTAAGAGATTACTAGTGCTTGTTATAGAACAATTTATACAGATAAACCATAAGGAAAATAAACATTCACATTTAATTAAAAGAAAAAAAAATTCTAAAATGCATGAATCCTTTGAAACATCTGTTAACACATGATATGGTAACCAAATGTTTGTTTTTTTTTTTCGCTGGAAAATTTTCACCTCCAAGTTCCAACAATGACTTTGCACCTATTTTCTCACAATTATGTCAGTAATGATGCCAATTACCGACTCAATAGTTATAGCACTTTTGTCCAAAAAAGGCCAATAACTTCAGCGACAACATACAACCTGTCCTAAAACTCAACAAAGTTTTACTCTATGAAGAGAATAACATAATATCCATAATTTTTAACATATAGTGTCTCTCGTGTAGAAAGAGGGCAAAAATACAATCCTTTGACAATAAGCACATTTCTTTTTCTTTTTTTTTTTTGGATAGGCAAAAATCACTAAATCACTATAGTACTTAAAAAAACTAAAAGCGCCAAAAAGGACACAAACTCTGTACACAGGAAGTATACAACAGAAAACTAAAACCCGTCCACAAAATTAAGCTCTCCTATAAAGTCTATCAAAGAATACTAAGCCAAAATAAAATGCACAAACTAATGACAATTGCACATATATAAGCATAGTGAAAAATTGCAGCCAATTACCTTATAGGTGCCAATTTGTATACAAAGTGTTCCAAAAATCATCTTGCATGGTTAACTTAGTCGTATTATTAAGACTGGATTCTTTATAATACAGGGGAAAAAGAAAAAAATACTTGAAAAAAAAAAATTTAAGAAGAAAAACAATACAATATGTTTAGTAAAAACTCATCCAATGAAGCAGAAATTTGCTAAACCTGCCCTACCAAATGGGATTATTTCAATCCTGAATACTAATCAGTGTGTTTGGTTTGAGTTTTTTGAATTAAGTCTTTTGAAAAATAAGTTTTTTGATTTTCGTATTTTTTTATTTTTACTGAATATTTTTAAAATTTTAAACATTTTTTTTATTTTTTTAGATGCACCTTACTTAGATGTATCTAAAAAGTAAAAAATTTGTGAAAAAATATTTTTAAGAATTAATAAATACATAAAAATACAAAAAATGTACTGAATTCTCGTATTTTTTTTTTTGTATTTTTGGTATTTAGTGAATTTTTAAAAGGTTTTTTTTCAATTTTTTTTACTTTTTAGGTATATTTATGTTAGGTATGTCTAAAAATTAAAAAAAATTGCTCAAAATATTAAAAAATTTCAGTAAAAACAAAAAAACACGGAAAATAAAAAAATAGAATTTTCTGAAAAGTATTTTTGAAAAGTGGTAACCAAGCATGGTGAATAGGAGCTAAAAATAGATGAGGCAACCAACATACATATGTTAAACCACATCAGTTTAATACCTAACTGCCTAGCATGCGCATAACAAAGAAATGCTAATGCCAATAATACGTCAACATAAATTCTTCAAATTGCTTTACACTCCATGATAACAAAAACTAATAATTTTGCACCAACAAACACATTTTAAAATCTTAAATCAACAGACACACCATTGAATCAGTGAATAAAGCTCATGTTTTTTACCTTGAAGAAACTGAAATCAATCGGAAGCCTTCGAGAAGACTCAATAGTCGAAAGAGCTTCATCGATGCTATCAGCCTTGATTAAAGCCACGATTTTGCAACGAATCGCGTCCTCATCGTTAGAGACAATTGACAGAACTGCAAAAAAAAAAAAAAAACACAGATTCGATCCAAATTTCCAAAAAAAACACAAACAAAATGAACTTCAATCATACAAACATGAATAATGACCTTGATCTGCGACTTTGACAGCTTGCTCGTACTCCGACCGTTGGATGTGTCGATTGAGAGTGGTGAATAGATCTTCAACGGCGATTACAGGCTTTGATGCTTGCGATTGCGAGGGTTTCGGCTTCTCTTTCGGCTTGGGAGCCATTGATGCTAGCTTCGATTCGGTGTGCAAATTCGGACCTTGCTCTTCTACGATTTGCAGGCGACGGCGTATGTATGTGAAGTTGTAGGGATTTGTTTACTAACGTGTGCTGTGATGTGTTTGTGGTTTGGCCTTTAATCAATGCTCCTCACTCTTCCTTACCTTTACGCGTATTGGCCCCGAGATAGCCCAGCCATTGCTGGATCTAGAAAACAACCAACAATTTGTTTGTTTATTTATTTATTTTTATCTTAACAATTTATTTATGAATGAGAATTACAATAAGGGGTGGTTTAAGGTTCGTTTATTAAGTGATTTTCTTTTTTTCTTTTTCTTTTTCTTTTTTTTTCTTTTGTTGTGAAACAACGTATAAAATAGCAGATAAGTGATGTTATAATTTGTAGTAAATAAATAAATCTTAAATTTTGAAACTCAATAATTAATCCTCTCGAAATATTATTTTATTACAATTAATTATTCTTGTTACGATTTTGTTAAAAATTTACATAAAATTATATCATGTATAAAACATACGACACATTTATTAATTTTTTACCACAATAATAAATTATAAAAAATTTAAAATATAAAAGGTCAAAATAAAAAAAAACTTAAAAAGCCCAAAGTAAAAAAAATGATTAAAGGCTCTTTTGAGAAGTGACTACTTCAATTGATTTTTTTTATTTTTATAAAAATATATGTAAAAAAAAATGTGATATAATTTATAATGATTTTTGAACTATACTAATCAAAGGAAGAGGCTTCCATTCAGTCCACTGTATGGACTGATGGATTGGAGCGTACTGGTAGGCCGTGGCACCCACCATGGGTCCCATTTCGATGTTTCCGAACTGTTCAATGCGTAGAGCTTGTTGAGTATTTCATAATTGGATATCGGTGACCCCTTGATCGGAACACATTTTGTTAACAATTTATTTTAAAAATCATATTTACTATCGACAAAAATGTGTTCCAATCAAAGGGCTACTGATATCTGATCAACGTGATTTTTTGTAAGCATGAAATATTTAGCAAGCTCTACACATTGAACGGTTTGAATTATCGAAACGAAATTCGTGATGGATTCCACAAGTCTAAAAGTATGGTATAACTTACACAGTAGACTGGAGATGAACCTCCCCTAGATCAAAAACCAAAAAATACCTTAATATAAAAGAGACATAGTGTAATTTACCCTTTTAAAAACAGGAGGGAGATTTCAATAATTGCCATACACCTTATAGAAAGTTTCCTAACTTAATTCACTGGGTCAAGCTTATCTTCAGTCTGAAATCGAATTAAAGCATATTGTTGGGTTCATTGGCTCACTACGGAATTTACATCGATAATCCGAAACCTTTTGAATATTTCAACCCTACAAAAAATCAAGTTTATAAGATATCGATAGTCACTTGATCATAATAAATTTGTATCAATGGTAACTATGATCTAAAAAAAAATTACTGACACAAATGTGTATGATCAAGTGTTTATTGATATTCGATTAATGTAACATTTTACAATAATAAAGTACTCAATAAATCTTACATATTCAATGCTTTTGATCGTTGATATAGACTTCGCAGTGAACCCACAAAAGCCCACAGTCTAGTTGGAAGTTATTTGGGATGAACTATATAAGTGTACTTTTTATCTAAAAAAGTAGAGGAAAAAAATGATTGTTTGGGATAATTTTTTGACTTTTTACGAAAAATGTACGTAGTAAAATATTGTATAAAATACCAAAATTACTTTCTTACCCCTTTGCGTACTGACATGTTTTTTGTGCATATCAGTACGGTTGCACAGTTGAAAGTTGTTATTGTTGTTTGCATGTCAACAAGGGTATTTTAGTCTTTTTACCCTCCGTATATGCTGACTTCTTTTTTTTTTTCTGTCCAATTGATTAGTGAATATTAATTTTTATATTTTTTTAATAATTTTTAGCTTTTTAACTTTTTTAGGGATTTCAAACAAACACTTGATTTCTAATTGAAGTGAGGCTTATCCCTAAATCATTTTATAGGGCTCCCAAACATCTTCCACTCTGGGATACAGATTTGGAGTCACCCAAACAAACCTCTGACAGGTCTTTCCTCCCTCCCCGTGGCTCAGTGCCAGTCCTCTCCTGTGTCAGTCCTCTCCTGTATATATTCACTTTTTTTAATTCGCAATTTTTTGTCATCATCAACACAAATATCCCTCGCATTTGCCGTTTGGTGAGAGAGAAAGAGAAAGAGAGATTTGGTGAAGAAGTCACCGCCGCCGCTAGAGAGAGGAAAAAAAAATGTCGAAGCAAAAGATAGAGAATCGAAACACCAACCTCATAGCCCTCTCCGGCGGCGCCGCCGCTCTCCTCGCCATCGCCATTAACTTCGCCATCAACGCCCTCAAGAAGAATCGCAAAAAGAAAGGTCCTATCTGTGTATATACATATTTATATGGTGTGATATTGTTCGATTCGTGTTCACTTGCTATTTTTGTATATGGGCTTAGCAATTGATTCAGTTTTGTTTTTTTGTTTTTAATTTGTATTGTTCTAGATCTCCTAGGGTCTACAGTTCAGATCAATCTTTCTCCGCCCGAGATTTTAAGATTAGCGAACCGCATCATTGCCAAATCGAAGGAGGTCCATGATTCAATTGCTTCAGTTCCTCTTGACAAGGTACTCTAATAATAGTTCCTATTGAAACTCAAATCTTTATAAATTTCATGAGTTTGTTATCTTAATTACTAATTTTGTCATTTCAGGACTCAATTTAATTAGAATTACTGATTTTTATTTTTATTTTTTGTAGTGCTTGAATTGACGTGGGAGGGATTGGGAAACTTTTTGTCAAAACAGAACAGTTTACCTAAAATTGCCTAATTTTTTTATATGGGTTTTAGATAATTGTGATAATTCAAACTGAGGTTACTTTGGTTTTCGAGACTGGCAATGTGATGTGAGCTGAGGTTTAGGATTAGAGCAAGTTTACAAGTGGTGGGTGGCAGGGGTATTGCTATTGCTGATGGTTCACATGAATTTTAAGATAAGTGTGAGGGTAAACAATGCGTTTCGGTTTTAAGCTTTGACTTTCTTTATGGCAAATACGGGGAGGTCCTATCTGTGTATATACATATTTATATGGTGTGATATTGTTCGATTCGTGTTCACTTGCTATTTTTGTATATAGGCTTAGCAGTTGATTCAGTTTTGTTTTTTTGTTTTTAATTTGTATTGTTCTAGATCTCCCGGGGTCTACAGTTCAGGTCAATCTTTCTCCGCCCGAGATTTTAAGATTAGCGAACCGCATCATTGCCAAATCGAAGGAGGCCCATGATTCAATTGCTTCAGTTCCTCTTGACAAGGTACTCTAATAATAGTTCCTATTGAAACTTAAATCTTTATAAATTTCATGAGTTTGTTATCTTAATTACTAATTTTGTCATTTCAGGACTCAATTTAATTAGAATTACTGCTTTTTATTTTTATTTTTTGTAGTGCTTGAATTGACGTGGGAGGGATTGGGAAACTTTTTGTCAAAACAGAACAGTTTACCTAAAATTGCCTAATTTTTTTATATGGGTTTTAGATAATTGTGATAATTCAAACTGAGGTTACTTTGGTTTTCGAGACTGGCAATGTGATGTGAGCTGAGGTTTAGGATTAGAGCAAGTTTACAAGTGGTGGGTGGCAGGGGTATTGCTATTGCTGATGGTTCACATGAATTTAAAGGTATGTGTGAGGGTAGACAATGCATTTCGGTTTTAAGCTTTGACTTTCTTTATGGCAAATACGGGGCTGTTAAGACTGCCAACATTTTGCTGCTGCACACAAAATACACAATTTAAATGCATCCCATTGAAGCCAGACTCAACTACTTGTTTCCAACACAATCATGTGCATATGCGATAACAAGTTGGTGATATGCATCTTAACCCCCTTGTGCAAAATACTCTACGTGGAGTTCTTATGGTTGGTTCTCTATCTAGGGAAAAATAATTTTTACCATTTTATTTAAGGATTATAAAGATGTCGAGTTACTACTAACTATATAGTTCCTATTGGTATATGTATATATTGTTGTTGTTGTTTTTTTTTTTTTTTTTTTAATGTTTTAATTAAAATATGCAGGTCACATATACAACTGCTATATTACCTTTGGCAGAATTGGAAGCACAACAATTCCCACTGGTCCAATCTTGTGTCTTCCCAAAATTAGTATCCACTTCTGAAGATGTGCGCAAAGCAAGCGCTGAAGCGGAGAGAAGAATAGATGCTCATGTTTCGAGTTGCAGGTTTTGCCTTCTTTTATTTATTTATTTAAAAGGGGTCCTGAAAGAGTTTCAATGAGTTTTTCATATATATATATATATATTTACAGTGCAATAAGTTTTTCAAATTTTAGTAAGCTATTCTCCAGGGAAAACCAGAAGACCAGCCTTTTGGCTTTGTCTCAGTCTTCTTGTGCTATCTTTTAATTCTTCTAGCATCATCTCTCAACAACCAGATTATCCCTCTTAATTTGGTGTGTGTTCTACATCATTATGTTAACTAATTGTTACATAAATGAATGTTTAATTTGTGTATTTCATGCAAATTGTTCAGTAAACGTGAAGATGTATACCGTGTCATCAAAGCTGTTGCAGCAAGGGGAGAATGGATGAACACTAAGGCCTAGTTTGGCAACCTGAGAAAAAGATAAAAAGCCAAAAAGTTACTAAAAAACCAAAAAAGTAAACACAATTCACAATATTTTAATGGTACAAAACAAAAATAAAAATATTATATCAGAACAATACCCATCAAGGGTCCAAAGCAAAAAAAAATTTAAAAACAATTTTTTATATCATTGATGGAGACATGCATCACTGCCACACACGTCCAAACAAAATAAAAATAAAAAACAAATTTTCAAATATTGTACTAGACCACGGTGGAAAAGAACGGGAAGAAAAAAAAAATTCCAACTTCTTCCTGTACACACAGATCCGTACTGACATACACGCGGATTTATATGGGTAAAATTGTAATTTTACTAATTTATACAATATTTTAATACATTTTTTTTCATAAAAAATCAAAAAGTTAACCCAAACAACCATCTTTTTTCCCTCAACTTTTTAGTCTAAAAAGTCAAAAAGTGCACTTATTTAGGCCACCCCAAACAACCTCTGAGACTAAACGCTATACACAGTGTCTGATATGAATTTAAACCAAATTTTCCGTACCATTTGATATGATGATTTTCTTGAATAGTTTATATAGTCTTTTTGGTGTATACTCTCATTTTCATTGTTTTTGGATGGTTATTTGGGATCAAATTCTATACTTGTAACTTGTTAGTTGAGTGTTCCAAATGTGATTACTAGCATGAATTTTTTCTGTCACTTCCTTCTTTTCCCCCTTATATACTGCACTTTTACATGTGAAGTAAAGTGTGGTTGTGGTAGAAATGCTTATTATTTTTCTCGCATCATCTTAATGGCACTAGAGAGTTGAGACAACTAGGTCCTGCTGTGAGAGGTTGATATCTGGGGTCATGTTGACCAAATTTTGTTTTCTTTTTTGTATATTTCTTAGGAAAAGCTGGGAATTCATACATACAAACTTATTAATTTTTTTTTGTAGATTGTTTAGTTTAACAAGTTCAAATTTTATAAGCATTTATAGAAAAAGGCCTTTACCTAATATTGTTCAATCAATTTGAGTGTTGGTAGAATTAGATTGGGTTCAGAACCCTGGTATGCTTGTGAAAACTTGTTTATTTGTTCTTATTTTGGAGGTATTTTTTCAACTTCCTCTTGTTTGTTGAACAGCAATATTTCCATCTGTATACTTGCTCTTTGTCATTGATGGATTGCCTTTCAAATTTGAAGAGGTTTCTTCTTGGCTGCATCAACTGTTGGGTTCATATACTTATTCTTAATTATTCAGTGGCAGGTCAGAGACTTTGAACGCAGTGGACTGAGCCTTACTTTAACGAAAAGAGAGGAATTGCAGCAATTAAGTGCTCAAATAGATGAGCTAAGTGGGCGATATATCCAAAATCTGAATGATGATAGTACGTCCCTTCTCATAAGTGAGACACAGCTAGTTGGATTACCGCCAGAGTTCCTTGAGGTTAAAATGTTTATTTATTTATTTTATTTGTTCAACACTTCAACTTAGATTTTCTACACATTATCTTTTTACTGTGCATTTTTATTTTATTTTATATATTTGCTGTGTGGATTCTGAATGAATCATTCTCATTTGTTACTGTTTTGTTTCACAATAAAATTTTGGATATGTTTGTTTGCAGAGCTTAGACAAAGCTGAAAATGGTAAATTTAAGGTCACCCTGAGAAGTCATCACGTTTCACCTATACTGGAGCTTTGTAAGGTACTACTATGTCTAGAGACTGTATGCACCCCCTCCCACAAAAAAAGGCACATTAAATCTTTGCTACATCAGTAGACCTTAGTAGTTGCAGTTTTTGCTTTTTCAAGTTTATGTGAATTACGTGAGAAGGCATTTTAAGTGATTTAGCTAATGGTACAAATACTGATGTACTTTTGGGAACTAGGCAATCTATATTGCCCGCTAATTTCAGATTGAAAATTTATACCATAAACAAGTGCCAGGAGGATGCACTTATTTGGGATCAAATTCTATACTTGTAACTTGTTAGTTGAGTGTTCCAAATGTGATTACTAGCATGAATTTTTTCTGTCACTTCCTTCTTTTCCCCCTTATATACTGCACTTTTACATGTGAAGTAAAGTGTGGTTGTGGTAGAAATGCTTATTATTTTTCTCGCATCATCTTAATGGCACTAGAGAGTTGAGACAACTAGGTCCTGCTGTGAGAGGTTGATATCTGGGGTCATGTTGACCAAATTTTGTTTTCTTTTTTTTGTATATTTCATAGGAAAAGCTGGGAATTCATACATACAAACTTGTTTAATTTATTTTTGTAGATTGTTTAGTTTAACAAGTTCAAATTTTATAAACATTTATAGAAAAAGGCCTTTACCTAATATTGTTCAATCAATTTGAGTGTTGGTAGAATTAGATTGGGTTCAGAAGCCCGGTATGCTTGTGAATTTTATTTGTTATTATTTTGGAGGTATTTTTTCAACTTCCTCTTGTTTGTTGAATAGCAATATTTCCATCTGTATACTTGCTCTTTGTCATTGATGGATTGTCTTTCAAATTTGAAGAGGTTTCTTCTTGGCTGCATCAACTGTTGGGTTCATATACTTATTCTTAATTATTCAGTGGCAGGTCAGAGACTTTGAACACAGTGGACTGAGCCTTACTTTAACGAAAAGAGAGGAATTGCAGCAATTAAGTGCTCAAATAGATGAGCTAAGTGGGCAATATATCCAAAATCTGAATGATGATAGTATGTCCCTTCTCGTAAGTGAGACACAGCTAGTTGGATTACCGCCAGAGTTCCTTTAGGTTAAAATGTTTATTTATATATTTTATTTGTTCAACACTTCAACTTAGATTTTCTACACATTATCTTTTTACTGTGCATTTTTGTTTTATTTTATATATTTGCTGTGTGGATTCTGAATGAATCATTCTCATTTGTTACTGTTTTGTTTCACAATAAAATTTTGGATATGTTTGTTTGCAGAGCTTAGACAAAGCTGAAAATGGTAAATTTAAGGTCACCCTGAGAAGTCATCACGTTTCACCTATACTGGAGCTTTGTAAGGTACTACTATGTCTAGAGACTGTACGCACCCCCTCCCACAAACAAAGGAACATTAAATCTTTGCTACATCAGTAGACCTTAGTAGTTGCAGTTTTTGCTTTTTTAAGTTTATGTGAATTACGTGAGAAGGCATTTTAAGTGATTTAGCTAATGGTACATATACTGATGTACTTTTGGCAACTAGGCAATCTATATTGCCTGCTAATTTCAGATTGAAAATTTATACCATAAACAAGTGCCAGGTGGATGCACTTTATGGTTACACTTCAGTGACCATAGATAACATGTATTACCATTGTGTAGTTATGGTTTTGCTCATGAGAGCAAACCTTATTCCTTTTTTAGTTCATTATTCTACATATGATTTTAAATTTATTTTCTACATCCTTCCTTCATGGCTACATATCTTTCCGGCTAAGGAATGTGAAATCTTTCTCTTGTTACATGAATCCAATTTTCATTTCATCTGGGAAAAGCCATATTTTTTTCAACAATTTCTTTGCCGTTTGATACTATAGCCTTCCAGTAGATAGAAAGAGATTTGATAAGTATTGACAACTCTTGGATAGAGTACTAGAACGGAAAGATCCATTAGATAATGAACTATTGGTTCTAAGCCATCTGTGGCAATTAATCAACAATTTGAAGTGCTTAGTTACTTTATTCTTTAAACCTTTGAAGGTAGGTTTGACAAGGAGGATTGTAGCTGTGGCTTATGGACGGAGATGTGAAGTCAACCTTTCTATCTTGGAAAGTCTGGTAAGGCAAAGCACAAAGACACAACTTCTGCAACCCTTATCATGATTTTATGTAAACTAGTGTCATGTCATCGTACCATCACAATTTTGGAAGCTTCTTTTCCTTCATTGCTTCAGTCATGCAAACTCTCTCTCTCTCTCTCATTTGGTCAATGTGGTAATGCAACTATAGAATTACATTTTGGAAATAACCTCAGAAAGCATAAGAATATTGCAGCAACACAGTGCTTATTCCTTGCCATGGTTTGCCTAAGAAGTTACACATGCCATGGCCATGGAAATGCAATTATCTAGAAAGAGACTTTCAAACTAAAATGAATAATTGGTAACATATATGTCTGAAATTTCAGCATAGGAACACGTCAAATGAAAAGCATAGCTAAATAAACCTTCATTGAGTACATAATGAGATGAGAAGTTTACTTCCTTTAGATATATACCATCTGGTTATTGTTAAGACGATGTTTGAAATCATGATGCACTATGTTACTTTCATAAGTCCTCGAATCATGAAACTAAATCCGTGAAGAGAATAGATTTTATAACAATTTTCACCAATATTGCTGTAGTATAGGTAATAAATTTATTTCTATTTGAAATCATGAAATAGCATATTCATCTAGTAGGTCATTTAGTGATTAGAAACTGCCGTTGACATTTTCTGGAGGTTTGATGAAATTGGTAGACGATGGAATTGGTAGATGTTATGATTACGAGGAGAGTTAGTACAGCTTGCATACAAGAAACTAAGTGGACGGGAGAGAAAGCTAAGGAAATTGAGGATACCGGTTTTAAACTATATTATAGTGGTAAGGATAGACGCAGGAATGGGGTAGGCATCATAATTGCCAAAGATCTTGTAAAGAGTGTAGTGGCGGTCACTAGGAAAAGGGATAGGATTATGCTAGTTAAACTAGTTATTAGAGAGAATATAGTGAACGTTATTAGCGCATACGCCCCTCAAGTAGGATTAGATGATCAGACTAAGAGGGATTTTTGGGAGCAAATGGATGAGATTTTACAAAAGATACCCGTAGGAGAGAACCTAGTTATAGGTGGAGATTTTAATGGCCATGTGGGCATAGATAAATTAAGCTATAAAAGGGTTCATGGTGGATACAGTTTTGGTGATAGAAATGAGGCTGAAGAGAGTATCTTAGGTTTTGCATTGGCTTCTGGCCTGGTGGTGGCCAATACTATGTATAAGAAGTGAGAGGAGCATTTGATAACCTTTAAGAGTGGATTAGTTAAGAGCCAAATAGATTACTTCTTAGTGAGAAAAGTGGACCGCCTAAAATGCAATGATTGTAAGATGATTCCTGGAGAGAGCCTGGTCTCTCAACATAGGATTTTGGTACTAGATTTATGTTTTAGAGGGCAATACCAAGCTAGGAAGGATGTTGGGCGTCGTAGGACGAGATGGTGAGACCTAAAAGGGGATAAACTAGAAATGTTTAAGAATCGAATGGATAAGGAAGGTACCTAGGACTTAGAAGGTGATGCTAACACTATGGGAAACTCGATGGCCAATTGTATAAGGAGAATCTCAAGGAAAGTGCTTGGAGAGTCGAAAGGAACGGGACCCAGCTCTATGGAAACTTGATGGTGGAAAGAAGAGGTTCAAGCGGCAGTTAAGGCAAAAAAAAGAGTGCTTTAAAAAGTGACAAAAGGATAGAACTGAGAAAAATCTTAAGAGCTATAGATTGGCTAATAAGAAGGTCAAGAAAGTAGTGAGAGAAAGTAGGTTGAAAGCTTATGAAGACCTATACACTAGACTAAATAACAAGGAGGGAGAGAGGAGGGTATACAAACTTGCTAAGATACGGGAAAGGAAAACAAGAGATTTTAATCAAATAAAGTACATCAAGAGTGAGGATTCTAATGTATTGGTGAAGGATGAAGAGATTAAGGAAAGATGAAAGAATTATTTTGAGAAACTATTAAACGAAGAACATGGAGATACGGCAATAGGGGAAGAAATAACCAATAATACGATAAACCAAGACTATAGGTTCTATTGCAGGATTAGGAATTTTGAAGTAGAGATTGCACTTAAGAAGATGAAATCAAATAAGGCTTTAGGACCCGATGATATCCCTATTAAAGCTTGGAAATGTTTGGGTAAAAAGGGAATTGCTTGGTTGACAAGATTGTTTAGCAAAATTTTGCTGACTAGGAATATGCTAGATGAGTAGAGGAAGAGTATTTTAGTGCCAATCTATAAGAATAAAGGTGATGTCCAGAATTGCAACAACTACAGAGGAATCAAGCTAACGTGTCATATAATGAAAGTGTGGGAGAGTGTGATTGCGAGATATAACGGAAGTGTCAGAGAATCAATTTGGATTTATGCCTGGTAGGTCAACAATGGAAGTGATCTATCTTTTGAGGAGAGTAATAGAAAAGTATAAAGAAAATAAAAGATACATTCATATGGTGTTTATCGACCTTGAGAAAGTATATGATAAAGTGTCTCGGGATATAATATGGTGAGTATTAGAGAAGAAAGGGTGACAAAAGGTTACATTGACGTGATTAGGAACATGTATGAAGGGGTGGTGACCACTATTAGATTGCCAACTAGAAAGACAAATGAATTTCCTATCACTGTAGGGTTACACCAAAGATCTACCTTAAGTCCTTATCTTTTTGCTTTAGTTATGGACGAGTTGACGAGAAACATTCAGAATGACGTGCCATGGTGTATACTTTTTGCAGACGATATTGTACTAGTAGATGAGACTAGAGAAGGAGTTAATACAAAGTTGGAGATTTAGAGATTTGGAGAAAAGCTCTTGAATCTAAAGGATTCCGGATAAGCAAAACTAAGGCAGAGTACATGGAGTGTAAATTTAGTAACAATAATAATGAAAGCAGAGGAGAAGTGAAGATTGAGAACCAAGAACTGTCTAATAGTAAATATTTTCGTTATTTATGGTCAATTATCACAACAGCGGGAGAGATTGATGCAGATGTGGCCCATAGGATTAAGGCGGGATGGTGTAAGTGGAGAAGTGCGTCTGGGGTATTGTGCGATAAACGAATACCCACTAGACTAAAAGTAAGTTCTATAGAACGACTATTAGACCAGCAATGTTGTATGGGACGAAGTGTCGGGCAACCAAAAAACAACATGTAGATAAGATGAGTGTGGCTGAGATGAGGATGCTAAGGTGGATGTGTGGTAAGACTAGACCAGACAAAATTAGGAATGAGTGTATTCGAGAATGGATAGGAGTAGCACCGATAGAAGATAAGTTGAGAGAGAATCGATTGAGATGGTTTGGTCATATTCAACAGAGACCAACAGAGGCAGTAATGAAGAGATGCAATGCTGTAACGGTAGATAGAAGTGTTAGGGGACAAGGTAGGCCTAGATTAACGTTGGCTAGAGTTATAAATAGAGATATGAATGTACTTAATTTGACTAATGAAATGGCACTTGATAGGGCCGCGTGGAGGAGAAGGATTCATGTAACCGACCCTATTTGATGGGACTTAAGGCTTCGTTTGGTTTGGTTTGATGAATTCCAGATGAACACAAGTAAGATCAATGCTCTTATATTTAGTTGATTAAAGAATCCTTCAATGGCAGAAGAAAAAGGAGAAGCTGAATTTTCGTTAATTTTGAACTTGATTTATGGTTCTGTTCTACTTGTTTTTATTTTTTTCTAATTTTTTTTTGGCATTATAAAAGCAAAAAAATGTGGGGGACATCCTGATCTGTCTATTCAAATTGATTCGGGCATTCCCACATTTAGCATTAGTTTTCTAGTTTGTATTGCTGACGAGATTTTATATATTATTACATGCTCAAAGATAAAGCTATAATTCAATTGACAACTCAGGGAAGTCAGGCATTGAAATATGTTATTGTAAATAAATGATATCTTAGAGTATGTATAGAAAAAGAAATGCATAGAAGCAATAGATCTCGATTTATTCATATGCAAATTTAAGCCATTTACTATTTGTACTTGTTGTCCATATTACCACATTTCAAATGGGAGAGTCGGAAAAGCCATGGTTTAAAAAAAAAAATGCCCAATTAGTACACATTAATATATGTTTGGGAAGGAAAAAATTGAGTACACACCTAACCTTTGGCATAATGCACAAAGTGGTGGCCTCAAGACTTGAACCCATAACCTTAAGATTATTAGGCCAAGTCTTAACCATTGGAAAAGCCATGGTTTACTTTGCAAAGATCATATTTTATACTTTTTCTGGCTGTTATGCTCTTGCTTGTTTCTGCCTGAAAGCCTGTTGGCATTGGTCTTGTTCTTGTATTATTTAGGTTCAGTTGCGCCATAAATCTGTTGGATTGTTTGGCTACTCAAACTACGCAGACTATGCTGTTAATCAAAGAATGGCAAACTCATCCTCAAAGGTTTGTACATGTTTATATGATTTCCTGATGTATTATCTTGTACTAAACAGCATTTTTGATGATTTATTCTCTAATTAAATGTTTATTATGTAATTGTAATTTCATCTACGTGCTTTTGCCCATGGTTTCTTTGATAATACAATTATTGGTAACGATTATTTTTCAGATCAGCTGATTAGATAATCATAGTCATTGGTATTATTGTACTTTCCTAGGTAACTGAAGACTTTTGTGTTGTTTAGTGAAGCAATTCATTTATTTGTTGAACTGAGAATGGCCTACAGATTGGTTATATACTTATTTCTTCAGTTTACAGTGGTACATAAATTGCTGAAAAATGATCAAGGAAAATATCTTATTGCTATTAACTTCCCGACCAAATTACTGATTTCTCATTTTGAATCATCATTCCATTACTGTTTGTTTGTAATATTTTCCTACCAATCCTTTCATAAAGCTGATTTTTCCTGATGAGCATGATGCTGTTGTTTTCAGGTATTTGAGTTCTTGGAGGAACTCTCTGCCAGTTTAACTGACTTGGCCACCAGAGAACTTAGTATGTTAAAAGACTTGAAGGTTAGTTTTTGCTTAGTCTATATCGTGTTATGCCAAAGTGTGTTTTAATCATGCTCATTGGTATTATTGTACTTTCCTAGGTAATTGAAGACTTTTGTGTTGTTTAGTGAAGCAATTCATTTATTTGTTGAACTGAGAATGGCCTACAGATTGGTTATATACTTCTTCCTTCAGTTTACAGTGGTACATAAATTGCTGAAAAATGATCAAGGAAAATATCTTATTGCTATTAACTTCCCGACCAAATTACTGATTTCTCATTTTGAATCATCATTCCATTACTGTTTGTTTGTAATATTTTCCTACCAATCCTTTCATAAAGCTGATTTTTCCTGATGAGCATGATGCTGTTGTTTTCAGGTATTTGAGTTCTTGGAGGAACTCTCTGCCAGTTTAACTGACTTGGCCACCAGAGAACTTAGTATGTTAAAAGACTTGAAGGTTAGTTTTTGCTTAGTCTATATCGTGTTATGCCAAAGTGTGTTTTATGTCTTTATAGTCTGTGTTTTTCTGGTGCATCAGAAAAAAGCGGAAGGAGATTTTCCTTTTGGAATTGAGGATCTGTTGTACTACGTGAAGAGAATTGAGGAACAACAATTTAATCTGGACGTTGGAGCTCTTAAACAATACTTTCCATTCAATTTGGTCATGTTAGGGATCTTGAAAATATGCCATGACCTTTTTGGTAATTTCATGATGTTTCCATTTCTTGACTTAGTATTTTGCTTGGCTAATTCATCTACTAAGCTCTCATCTTCCTTTGCTTCATGCAGGTTTAAGATTTGAAGAAATTGCAGATGCTGAGGTTTGGCACTCTGATGTTCACCTTTATTCAGTCTATGACTTATCTTCTAGTGAACTTTTGGGCTATTTCTACCTTGATATGTTCTCTAGGTTCATTTATTACTCATGGTTTTATTAATTCTAGTGGACATCAATTTATGGGTGGTTCACATATATGATTTAGAATGAAATGAACTTACGTTGTATCTTCAAACAGGGAGGGAAAATATGGTCACACCTGTGTTGTGGCTCTTCAGAATGGTTCTTTTGTCAATGGTGCACGAAAGGTGATTGTAATACGCTATTAAGTTTGAGTTTTCTAAACTTATTGTTGTTGTGATGTTGAACTCAAATTTTGGGTACCTGCAAAGCATTTTATTTTGAGATACATTCTATTTTGTTTAGTAAGGACAAGATCAAATGCATAAAGCATGTTTGATTAGCATGGTAGAATTACATTTTTTTTTTAGTTTTCAATAGAAAAAAGGCAAAAATTTATGTTGCCTGATGTATATCTGCTTTGTGTTGGATTCCCTTGCCACCATGAGAGTTTGTTTTGTACTTGAAAATTCTTCTCAAGGTTCAGTTGGATGCCATTATGTCTCTAGTACTATAGGTGTTGGTTTTTTTGATATAAATGTTATACATGGTTGGGCAGTAGAAGACATAGTCCACAATTTCTCATATATGTTAAAAGTATCGTAAGCTGATCATAATTTTAATATGTTACTGATTTATCCTCAATTTCTATATGTAGATTCCTGTGGCATTACTTACTTCTCAGCTTCAAAAGGAAGTTGGTCATACTGCGTTGTTGAGATTCTCTGAAGTGGTTAATCTTTTCCATGAATTTGGCCATGTGGTATGTCAATATCTGCCTTTTGAATGGTTTCTATGGAATCAAACTCAAAATTCTATTTCCCTTCTATTTAGTGCTATTATTAAATTCTTACACTATTAGATATGCTTTATAGTTTCTTGCTTATGTGAACCATTTTTTTATTTGTCTGAGTCTAATGTTTGTATTGTTACCTGTTTCCTTTGATTCTAATACATTCTTATTCTATTCCAGTTTGTTTTTCCACTGTGCCTGGTTAGCCATGTTTGTTGGAAACGGGACTAAACCACCTAGTTGGTCAATGGTCTGTAAATGTCATTTTGGTTGAATAATTTTACTATAAATGTTTCTCTATACCAATTTGCATATGAAAAACTAAAATTCCTTTTCATCTAAACTTCTATAAATTAGCCCTCACTACAAGAAAATTAACTATTTACGGCATCATGTTTACGGCATGCATTAAATGCATGTCATAGTTAGTACATTCTACGACATTTTTTTTTTTGCAAGCCGTTAATGTTTTGTCAATAACAACTTTTTTGCAAGCCGTTAATGTTTTGTCAATAACAGCTAGGGATGGCAATGGGGGTTAATGGGGTGGATATTAATTCCCCATCCCCATTCCCCTATAATAAATTTTCCCCATTCCCCAAGGGTATCACCCTCCCCATCTTCTAATGGGTTTGGATTTTCCCCAACCCACCTTAATCCCCATTTTTATTTATTTTTTATTTTTTATATTTAATGTTAACAACCACCTTCTTCTTTCTTCTTCTTCTTTTTTTTTTTTTTTTTTTTTTAAAAGGTTCACAACAAAAGCTAAATATATCTTCAATCTTTTTTTTTTCTTCTTTAATATATTTAATGTTAGCAACTTATTTTTTTTTATTTTTTGTTTTTTTTTAAGGTTCACAACAAAAGCTAAATATAAATTACTCTTATTGTATTTTATTTGGTTCAACAACAAAATCAAATACACATTAATTAATTAATTAAAAAGTTTGTTTTATAATAATCAAATATATAATTTTGAGACAATCAAATAAGTTTTAGTAATTGAAAAAAAAAATGTGGAAGAACATGGAAAATTAAAAAAAAAAATTACAACCATCTCTCTCTCTCTCTCTCTCCCCTACAATGTTATAAGAAGCTGTTTACAATGTTATAAGAGTCTGTTTGAAAAAATAAAATAAAATATAAAAAAACATGTTTGAAGAAAGTGTTATAAGACAGAATCATCTACATCAAGGACATTTTGATTTGGGAGGGGAGGTTGTGATGGTAGAGAGGTCTCACTCTCAACCGATATTGATGGTAACCATCAACAGGTACTTGAGAGTTTGCTTGGGAGTTTGCTCCAACTTCAGACATTATCAATGGTTAAAAATCCTGAAGAACATAAATAAATAAATAACCCATTTCAAAAAAGAAATGATAGCATTTAACTCTGTCCAATGATATTAGAAAATTGCACAAGCTAGGAGATATTGTACACTATGTTTTTTTAACATTTTGCCAATATGGTTAATCTTAATCAAGTAAATATGTAACCCATAAGATATTACAACCCATAGCAACGCAGAAATCAGACCACTAAGCTGAGAACAAAAACAGGGAGTTGATAATTGCTTATGCATCCAATTCAAGTTGATAATTGCTCTTTACAGTTGATAATTGCTTATACATCCAATTCCAGTGTACATCACAAGTATAAATCATTCAAAATATATTTAGTTTAATAAGGATTCAAACTACTAATAGAATTACTATCTTTTGAATATATATATATATATATGTGTGTGTGTGTTGTGTATATAAACTATGAATATAAAGTCCTTGTCTAATGTTGTAGCTATGGAAAAAAAAAAGGGTTATACAATTCTGAAAACAAAAAAAGCATCAATGGAGCACATGAACTTGTAATGCAAATACCTGTAGGCGGAAGGACGTTGTCCACAAATATGAAGATTGCTTTCTCAGCACTCAGTTTAATTCTCTTCCGGATCACATACACAAACTGTCCCACAGTCAGGTCAGCTGGAACAAGGTATCTGGAATTATCTTATTCAAGTGAATGGAAAAAATTCAATACTTTTTAAGAAAACAAATGCTAATAGTTGCTGCTTTTTCAGCATTCAGGTCAATTGCCTTCTGGATTAATAAAAGTTTTCCCTACCATTAAAAGACTTGACCCACATCAGGTCAGCCTGGACAATCATGTCCCTAACAATCTTATTCAAATCAATCAAAAGGATTTCAATACTAGTAAAGCAAATAAACACTAAAATAATCACTGTCCCTGAGCCATAGACTTTGCATCATTCAGGAGGGAGTTCTTGGGGTCAACCCTTCAAATTGAGCAAGCAACTTAGAGAGATACGTGGAAGGAGTTACACAAAACAACTGCATCCCACCTTCCCTTCCAAAAAAACGAGAGGCATGTAATAGCCAATACCACATACATGTGATGCGGACCTGAAAGGCTTTGGATGACAACAATTGAAAAATAAAGGAATTTTATTTTATTTTCTTTATTAGGATTATTTCTAGTTTTTATTAAATTATTTGCAAGGGTTTTATTTTTGGTAACTTGAATTTGATTTTAAGACTAGACTTGATGAATATTGAACAATTGATTATTGAGAGTTGTTTTGGAATTGTAATTCCCAATTTATTCTTCTTCCTAGTGCTGCATCAACATGACTGCAAATTTTTCCATTTGTTCATTTTCTTCAATTTCAATCTTATCTTCAGCCTTCATGCAGTTATATATATACATAGATAGAAAAAGAGAAAGGAAAAAACATGAAGGAGCTATTCAAGGCATAGTAAAGAATACTCCACATATATTACATTTCGAGACGAGTATTGCAGGTCCTGTCCGTTATTAATTTCTAGGTGATGAGAAAGGTGTGCAAATTTCCATGCCAAAGTTGGACAACGTGTAAGTCACTTGTGGTAACTATGGTTGGCATAAGGGTGATAAACAAACAAAGGATAAATACTTCCAAAATAATTAGCTAGACAGAAATTTGCTATCAAGTTGAAAATAACTTCACTTACTTTTTCTTGTCGATGTTAGGAATATCACTTCTCTCGGCCTTCTCCACAATCACCTTTAGAGCAAGAGGCAAACATCAAAAGAAGCATGTATTTATTTATTTACTGAGATAATGATTTATGTAAACCAATGAGAAGAATAGTCCTATGAATCTCACATACTATGGATATAACAAGAACAACAACCACCCACTCTACCCCTCCCAAACCACCATCCAATGGGGACTAAATTGGGTATACTTTTTAGCATCAACAATAATTTGGACAAATCATAATTGGTTAATCTTATTATTTCTTTTCTTCATTATTTTATTTTATTTTTTCAGATCTTAGGAGAATGGATCCATTCTTTTATTAGTTTTACATGAACAGAGGAGCATTAGCCAATTCAACAGCTGATCAACACAACAAAGTGAAAATTCAACAGTATTGATCAATAATTGATGAAAGTAAAATTGAAAGATTGGATTAGTACCTGAAACGATCCCTAAAATCCCAAGACTTTCTCTCTCTAAAAACCCCTATTTCTGTCTCTACAAGCTAAAAGGGATCAACTTTCCACCCAACATTATCTTCTCTCTCTCTCTCTCTTCTTATTCAATGGAAATGTTAAAACACTCATTTTAGTTTGACTATATAAAGCAACCAATCATCAAAACAGAGATGACCTATTTGCTTAAAAACTTAAGGAGTAGCTATATTGATCTTGATCATTTGCAGAGGGAATTGCCATTTTTGTAACAAAGCTTTTATGCAATCCATTTTGACCCTACACCCTTTTAACATAACATAACATAACATAGCAAAGTCCCAAGAAAATAAATAGCCGGTAAATCAATTTCATCTTCCACATGAGAAATCAAAGCTAACAATTCCAAATGCATCAGAATTCACAACTGATTTAAATCCATAGCTTTAAACAACATTGAGTTAAAATTTCCATGAATCAAACCAACAACTCTGTGAAGCAACAACTCTGTTTGGAAGTTGAGAAAGTGACTAATAGATGAATTCGTAAACACACACAGAACAAGAGAGAGAGAACGAGAGAACGAGATAGAGAAACTCACCACACCGGAGAACCACCGTGGTAACACCGACGGAGATCGCCGCCGCTAGATCGTTGCCTTTGCAAAACCTATGGAGATCGTTGCCTCCGCTGCTGTGAGAATGAGAATGAGAAACCGTGAGGGCGAGATTGAGAATGAGAACCCTAACATATGGGAAACGGGCGGGTACCCAATCCCCGACCCATATCCTATGGATATTTTAAAAAACCCACATAATTAATCTTATGGGTACAAAAGAGGAGAAAAATCTAATGTACTTGGTTTGGATCTGCATATTCATGGGATAGGATTTTCATCGTTATCCCTAATAATAACATATATACTATGTAAGTCGTTAATTCATATATTTATAGCATGTAAAAGTATGTCGTAAAAAATATAAATGTTTACGACTTACAAAAATATGTCATAAAATATTTGTACTTAAGACGACATATATTTTATGTTGTAAAATATAACTTTACACGACATGCTAATGAATGTCGTGAAAACTTGTACAAAAAAAAAAATGCAATTTGATCTTTTTATGACATGTAAAAGTAGGGTCATTTCCCTAAATAAGTCAAATTATCAATTCAATTCCCAAATTAAGCTTAGTTTTGAAAGAATTCTCAAAATAGGCTAAAGCGTGATTCACAACCACGCTTTCAACGTTTGTCCCGTGAAAATGGCGAAATCGTAAAAACGTGATTACAAATCACGCTTTTAATTAAGAAAGCGTTGTTCCTAATCACGATTTTAAATAATTTTTTTAAAAAAAAAACACGTGATTTCTAACCACGCTTTTAAAGAATTTTTTTTTAAAAAAAAAACGTAATTTCTAATTACGCTTTTAAATAAAACTGTATTGTAAAGAAAGCGTAATTATAAACCACACTTTCAACGTTCACAACCCACGCACTCACTCACAGCCACACCACACACTCTCTCTCCCTCTCTCTGACACATCACTCACACACAACTCACACTCACACACAACTCACATCAAAATAAATATAAATAAATTTTAAAAATTAAATAAATATAAATAAATAAATAATGTTTAAAAATAACTAAATTTTAAGAATTAAACCCTAAATCTTAAAATAAAAAATAAATAAATTTTATCCCTAAATAGTAAAGTAACGTTTGATAACGTTTACGTTTTTAATTTATGTTTACAAAATTTTATAAACTGATTTTTGTTTATTTTTAGAAAAACATAAATTAAATTACAAATGGCATTTAGTTTTTGAAACAAAAAAATTTTAAAAATAATTTAAAAAACATAAACTAAAAATATTGTTTTTCAAACTTAAAATATTTAATATTTATATTTTTATTTATGGAACAAATGTCAACAACATATTATAATAAAAAAAATTAATTAAAAAAAATAATTAAAAAAATTAATTAAAAAATAATATTTGAAAAAAAATATATTTCAAATAATTTTTTTTCAATTATTTGAAATATATTTTTTTCCAATTAAATTAAATTTGGAAAAAATATATTTGGAAATTATCAAATTTTAATTGGGAAAAGAAAATAATTGAAAAAAGATATATATTTGAAAAAATAATTAAAAAAAAATATTGAAAAAAAATTTAATAAAAAAAATAAATGAAAAAAAAAATTATTAAAAATAATGGAAAAATTTATTTGAAAAAAAAAAATTATTTGAACAAACAATTCTAATATGTGAAAAAAAAATATTTCAAATAATTTATTTCCAAATAATAATTTTTTTTTCAAATAATGTAATTTGGAAAAAAATTTCAAAATAATTGAAAAAAATTTTTTGAAATATATTTTTTTCCAAATATTATTATTTTTTTAATTAAATTGGTTTCCAATTAAATTTTTTTTAATTATTTTTGTAAAAACATAAACCAAAAACTAAACGTATCAAAACAGTTAACTTATTGTTTAGGAGATAAAATTTATTTTTTTTTTTATTTAAGATTTAGGTTTACATTCTATACAATTTTTATTTTATTTTTTAAATATTATTATTTATTTATATTATTTTAATTCTTAAAATAATTTAATATTAATGTGGGAATGGCGAGTTGTGGTTTGTGAGGAGTTGTGTTGTGAGTGATGTGTCAGAGAGAGGGAGAGTGATGGAGTGTGTTGGTGTGGCTGTTGAGTGAGTGGGCGTGGGTTGTGGAGTGTGAAACTGGTTTCTAATCACGCTTTTTTATAAACAGTTTTTTGGTTTAAAGCGTGTTAGAAATTACGTTTTTTTTGAAGAAAAAAAAAATTCTTTAAAAGCGTGGCTAGAAATAACGTTTTTTGGAAAAAAAAAATTTATTTAACCGTGAATTAGAACAAACGCTTTCTATTAAAAGCGTTGATTTTGTATACATGCTTTTTACAATTCGCATTTCACGAACCAAACGTTGAAAGCGTGGTTTGAACCAGTTTTTAAGCCTAATTTTGGAAAAATTCCTTTCAAAACTAAACTTAGTTTTGAGAAATTGATTGATAATTCTTATTTAGGAAACTGCTTGTGACTTCCTGTTCTGTATTAAGCTAATTGGTCCTTAAAGTTGTTTAGGTTATGTGTTTAGCCTGGTTTGTATGCCTATTATGTGAAAATATGTGATTTTGAACTTCTATCATGTTCACCGTAGGATATATCTGTTTTGATTTACCGTTCGGAAATTAAATTGAAAGGCCTATGGCCACAGAACCCGAAATCGATTACGCCATTGTGGTGGCATAATTTTTAGAGCCTACAGTGAAAATTTAATTAGAAATTGATTCCAGGTTCAGATTAAAGTTGATTAAATTGATAATTTAGTGCCGCAATTTTTATTATTATTATTTTGGAATAGTGGGGTTTATGTAAAAGGGTCACTACACCACTAAATTCGCTTCCCTTTATGTGGCTTTGGCTGATTAAACCTCTCTAGAGAGTGAGAGACCCGAAAATTGAGAGAGAAAGGGGGAATATCAAAATCTGAGTTTGGCTCTTGAAGCTTTTAGGGAGTCTGAAGGCTAGCTAAGAAATAACCTAGATTGGAGGAATCAGCTCCTAGGTGAGTGATTCTTGGATTTATGTTAATTGTGCATTGTCCAAGCAATCTTGATGATCAAGAACAAGATTGTAATGAAGTTTGAGTTGTGTTGTTGAATTGAAGCTTAATTGTTGCATGCATAGTAAGAAATACTTTCGAAATTTGCATGTTTGCGCACAAATGTGTATAACCCATGTGAAATATTAAAGGAAACTCATGTCTTCGGTCACGCATTTTGTTATCTAAGTTGAGAATGGCTAATCCATCACATCATGACAAAAATTTTTGCGGAAAAAAAAAAGGGAAAAAAAAAAAAAAAGATAATGAGCTTTGAATGCATGGCTCATTTTCCCACCTACCTCATTTACCAATGTAACCATTTCATGCATTCAAAGCTCATATCTTCTCAATTGTACATGCCATGTGATGGATTTAAGCCATATTCCTCAACTTAGATAAACAAAATGGTGACCAAAGACATGAGTTTCCTTTAAATATTCACATGGGTTAATACACATTTTGCTCCAACATCAAATTTCTAAGTATTTCTTACATGCATGCACATATTCAGCTTCAATTCAAGCAAACACAACTCAACTTCATTACAATCTTTGTTCTTGATCATCAATAGCTTGGAATGCACAAAAAAATTACAATTATATCCAAGAATCACTCACCTAGGAGCTGATCCTCACAATCTATGGTTAATTCTTGAGCTGCCCTTCAAGACTCCAAAGCTTTCAAGAGCAAACTCAGATGATTTCCCCCTTTCTCTCTCAATTTCGGGTCTTCACTCTCCTAGAGGTTAAATCAGCAAAGCCGACATAAGGGAAGGGATTTAGGGTGTAGTGGCTTTTACATCAAACCCCACTATTTCCAAAATAATAATAAAAACAATTGGGCACTAAAATATCAATTTTAATCAACTTAATCTGACCTGAATCAATTTCTATTAAATTTCCCACTGTAGGCTTC